AAAAAAAAAAGAAAAAAGAAAGGCTTCCTACAGGAGGTGGCAATCACAGGAAGTTATGGAGAGGGATTCCAGGCAGAGGGAACAGCAGATACAAAGACCTCAAGGTGGGAATTAGGTGAGTGAACAAAACACAAAGTAACAAGAAATGGGATTAGACAGGAAGGCAGGGCCCAGATCATTTAAGCTTCAAAGGCTTATCCCATTTTATCTCAACATGTCTCTGAAGCTTTTAAAGAGTCTTAAACTCTTCCATGAACAGATTTACATATTGTTCAGCTGAGGAGACCACAGAGCGTGAGAGCAGAAACAGCGTGAATGGATGGATGCTGTTGTCTTTGCTTAGCGGGGCTGTGGGGCAGGGGGAATAGCCTCTTGGGACAGGTCTGCAGGTAGAACCAAGGAGAGAAAGAGGAGTCCATATAGGGTCCTGTGATTTAGGGTCAACAGTTGGGTCATTCATGGGGCATTTACTGAGACAGAAAAGGTAGAGAGTGGTGGATGTGGCCAGGAAGACAGAGTTCAGAGCTGGGGAAGCTGAGGTGTTCTGTTGTGAACGTCTTAGGGTTGAGTGGCCTATCAGACATTCAAGCCCAGGTGTCCACGGACAGTAGAGGCTCAAGGTCACGCTGGGCATATAAACTAGAGAGTCATCAGTGAAGAGTCTCACAGCCAGGAGATGACCAAGTCCACACTCTAGCCAAGTTTTAGCAGAGTTTCAACACTTGCCTCTGCAACACTTGTTGGAAGAGGAGGCCCCTCTCTCGCTTGCCTGGGAGCCCTGTGAAAGGTGCTGTGAGCACACTCCCAGCACTGCACAAGCTATTCCTGCCCCTCGGTCGCACAGAAGGTTGATGGTTTATATCCCCTCAGCCTTTTCTCTTTTGTGTAAGTTTGAAGATCAATTATATCTTTTAATTAGTTCATTTTTGAGTAAACTTTTTCTTAGCTCCCTTTTTAGCTCAGTTGGTTCAATATCTAACATACCGGCTCGGCGCCTATAGCTCAACCGGC